TTTGTTATTATGACGTAGAACGCCATTGGTCAATTTTTCCCTCTAAAATATACCACGTCCCAAAATTCGATGTTCGATAAGGTTCATTCGGCGATCGTCATTAAGCCTGATCTATTATACAATATGCTCTTTGTTTCCTGCTTCTTTCTCTTTATCTCTTTCTGACTCAAACCTTAAGCTTTAAACCAGAAAAAAACAGAAGACAAGAAACAAAACGCAAAGAGCATATTGTAGATCAGGCTTTAGGAGTCGCGCGAGCAGGAGTTTTGTTTGCGGCGGAGAACATCCGTGCTCCTCTTTCCCGCGCTCTAATCGACGGGTCTCCTCGTGCAATATTCTCGTTATGACGTCAACGTCGTTCACCCGCACGCGAGCTCGCCCGACTGCCCTGAAAGACGCGAATTTCGATGGCATTCTGTGACGCGCACAGCCGGGACGGGCGTTATGAATGTACCGGGAGCAAAGAGTTTGCCTCGCCCGGTTTATGCAATCTCGTCGGTGAATCCGCTTGACAAACTACCTTCCATATGCCGATGTATACCTCGAACGAGAGCGCGCCGTTTTCTCTCTTCCTATCTCTCCTTCTCTCTCGCGCCCGGTCGCATCATTATCTACGAATAATAGCTCATAGTTATGTACGAGCGGCTCTTCTGCTCTTGCGCTTCCGAGGGAAGCGCAGCGCGCGAGTTTGCGCTCCTACTACGGCTTGTTATCGGCAAATACTCTGGAGAACAAATCCAGTAAACGTCGCATTCGCGTCGGCGATCTCGTTATCGGTAATCCTTCGGCTCTCAATTATAACCGTGACTCGAGAGAATATCGTATTTGCGACTTTTTATGCCGTGCAGAAAAGGCAGCGCGGCGAAGGGGAAGCGATTTCCCTTTCCCTCTTCTTAACGATCGCTTTGTGCTATTGCAGACGCGAGATCTTGTAGCCGAGATTCTCGAGGAAAGCGCGCCTCTTGACGAAAGCTCTCCCCGAGTCTTGAGCCGTCCGAGTTTCCAACTCGTGAGAAAAGTATCGTAATGACTCTATCTACACACATATATATATATATACACACACATATATGTACACGTTATAATACTGATCATCGGTGCGCCTCTATAACCACTTGCATTATTTATCCGCATTGCGCGCATAACGGCAAAGTTTCCCGTGGATCGCGAAGTTCGCGATTCGCGCGTGTTGTATGTGTAAACGCTGATACGTAGTATCGCGCAGTAGCGCCTCTAGAATCGACCGACACGATTAAATTGCCGTAATGACCGCGTTGGGAGCTGTTGAATGGTATCTTCGCGTTAGTCCCGTCGTTCTTGTTGTGACTCGCACTGCATTTTATGCACCCATGAGTGCAAGGGAGAGAGAAGGGTGCAAAGAGAGGAGAGAGGAGGTGAAGGATAGGAAGAGAGAGAGAGAGAGAGAGAGAAGGAGACACGGTTAGCATGCGTTTTTGCATATATCCTTTGACGTGGAAAAAGGGTGGAGCGTAGAAGGAAACGGCCAAAGAGTTTCGTAGCCCGCTTTATGATCTCGTCGCTGCGTCGCTAAGTCTCTCTCGACAAACGACCCTTTGTACGTAAATACCATGAATAAGAGCGGGGGCGTTCTTATCTTTCATTAGTTCGTCGCGTAATTTCTTATTACAATGCGTAGATTATGGTTTGCCTTGAAATTCCTAAATTTTAGTCCAACCCATCCGAGGAAATCTGTTACATCCGTGTTTCTCTCTCTCCCTTTCCCTCTTCTCTGTCATGATTGTTCAAAATACCAAAATACGTAGCGATTAAAACACGTTTTTCCAGCTTTATATCTCCTGCAATAGGAATGCACGCGAACGCACGGTTCTCCTGATTAACGGAAATGCTTTCATATATCCAAGAGAGAGAAGAAAAAGAGAAAGCGCGCTTTCTCTCCTTCAGCCGTCGCACCGACAATTTGGATTTCCACTTGCACATTACGGCTTCCTCGCTCGTAACTCATTTTCCAGAGTGAAATCTTTTCCCGTCGGCGGACGCGCCGCAAAGTGGAAGCGCGCAGAAAATGACTTGGTTCGGAGCGAAACTCACTCGCGCGGCACGATTAACGCGGAATTCTTCTAGGCTCGCGAGTGCGTGCAAATGAAAGGCAAAAAGGCGAGCCACGTCGCGAATCTTCGTGGAAACGACACACAAGAAACGCGGTAGTGTCCACGTCGGATTTCACGGACGACACATCGTGTCTATCGGAGGTTGCGGATTGCGTCATGGCTGTTCGACGGCTTGTCCACTACCTGCTTCCGAAAGCTTCCCGCTTTCACACATGGCTTCCCGCTTTTCCCGCGACGGGACGGGAAAGATTTGCAAAGGGTGACTTTAATCCACTTGAAGCCGACGATATACCGTGCGCTTTTATCACAGGGAATGCACCGTTAAAAAATTTACCATTGAAAAATGTTTCTAGCGCAATTTACTACTGTTTCTTGATGAGTCAGACTTTTACACAATCTACACTACTACACTGAGAGAAAAAAATATCTAAGAAATATCTAAGAAACAATAAATATTTATTTGGTGGGTATTAAAAAAAAAACATTTTCTTTAATACAAAAAACTAATACAAAAGTTTCTTTAAATAAGAAAATATTCATTATCTTAAAACTTCAAGAAAACTTTAGCTTTTCATGAAGGCAATTGTTTACTTAAATAAAATAATCTAACTAAATATGTTATCAATATTTACCAGACAAATATTTTATAATTTCTGAATTTTTTTCTCATTATAAAGACACAGTAAAATTAAAAAGAATTTATATGAAACAAAAAAGAACTATAACATTTTCCTAGTAATTCCTACTAATTTAAGAAGAAGATGATAGCATCAAACATTATTCAACAAAATTGTTAAGAAATAAGATCATACAAAAGAAAGAAATAAAAAGACTAAAATTAAATTTGAAATTGAAATTAATATTGGTGTGAAGATACGACTGAAAAAAATTCTTGTTCCTGGGAATTGTTTTCTGATAAGAGCTCAGAATCGAAAAAGGGTTAAAAAAGTGAGGAATGATCGCGATCTCACAATTGTATCCGGCATTCGCTACGTATCGCGTAGCTGACACTTTGTGATCTCGATCCGAATTACCGTGTAATTTTTCTGAATCGGATCGCGAGCGCGATTAAAAAGCTTTGAGGATCTTCGTCGTCCTCGTAGACGTCCTCGTGTTCCACGTTTATTACATTTAACGCACGACTACGGTTATTTCCGCAGATGTCGGCAATTTTCATTTATTCCTTTGTACTCGGAAAACTCTCTTGTGTATCAGATTGATTAAAAAATCCGTTTGTTTTTTTTCCTACGCGACTGTTACATTATTAAAACAGCGAACGAACTGTTTGATTAATTTGATAGTTTTGAGAGAGACGGAGAAAGAGACAGAGAGCAGAGAGAGATAGAAAAAAAAAGAAACAGGCAACGCATGTTTTGATATGTTTTATAGTGATATGAGACGTAGCTATGCGGTTTCAGTTAGAATACAAGCGATATTCTCTTTTTTGATTTTTCATAAGAGCAGAATGAGGGAACCGTGCTGTCGGAGAGGAACGCGCGTATTTTCGGTCAAAATAGCAGCAGCAGCGGTGTCGGCGGCGGACATCCTTCAATCTTTCGTCGAGGTATAAGAAGTTGTATTATTCGCGCGGCATTAATCGGCGGATCTCACGAACTCGCTTAGTCACGGTCGTTTGTTGACTCGCGCTCGCCCGAGCAGAACGAAAGGCTTTTCGCCGTACGTTTTCGCGCAAGCTTAGCTTCTTAAAGCGACGGGAAAAGGGACGACGTTCGCGAAAATTCGAGCGACAAGGGAACGGGAAGAATGGCAGAGCTAACCGTGTGATTTTACCGTTTTGCGAGCGTAATTGCTCGCTGACCTAATTGTCGAGATATTTGTTTCTTCGACGTTTCTGAATAAACATAAATGATATTGTAAGTCGAGTCAGCAGTGCGCAATGCGCATCATACATTTAAGACATCTTCGCGACCTGATTCCGCGCTCGCTTGTTTTAACTCTCTAAAAATATTCATATTTGCGGCTCTCTCTCTCTCTCTCTCTCTCACTCTCTCCATTACGTGAAATGTCCTAGAATCGGCGACCTTAATTTCAAGCGAGATCAATAACGCGTGAAGACGCCGTTAAATTCGCGCGCGACTCGATTCTTAGTTGCACGATGAAGTTTCGCGGGATCAAAATGCCCCAGAGAGGTGAAAAAAGATCGCGCGATTAATTACTTCTTAATCTGCGATAATTTGAAAAAAGCAACGATTCACTGATCCCATAAGGTTTCTTTCCCACCTCTTTTATGATTCACCCGTTTTCGTAGCCGCAGTTGAAATATCACCGCGCAACTCGCACATGATGTATAATAATAGAGCAATTTTTACGCATTATTGTATAAACATTAAGTATAATTTTTTTTATATGCACGGAGAAAGTATCGTAATAAAAATTGCAACATAATTCTTGGATTTTGGATTATAGAGAATTTTGAACGAAATTTCTATACATTTGTTTAAAAATGTTTGACTACTACAAAATTTATTACTATATTTATATATTATTGTAAAATATTGTAAAATTATTGTAATTATTTGAATGTTTTTTTTTTATAATATATATCAGGTATATTGTAAAATTACTATTTCTAGTAATTAGTAGAGTAATTATTAGTAATATTAGTAATTAGTAATTTATATAAAACTGTTAGTTATTTTATATTTAGTTATATTATTTTAGTTATATAATAGTTAAAAGTATTATTTTAGCTATATAATAATTAATAGTAGTAATTCATAATTTATATTACAATCTCATATATAGTGCAGTTTTTTACAAGGAAGTTTGAAAAAGAAATGTTTTTATTTTAAGCTTCATTAATGTTCTCTTGTGGATTTCTCCACAGGAATGTAATCATAATGTTATAGCATAAACTTGTGCGCTAATCAAATATAATTTTTGTTACAGGGGACACTAGGGGATAGAGAGAAGGAGAGAGGGAGGGTAAGAGGTACAGAGATAGTGAGGTAAGTAAGTAGAAATGTAGAGAGAAAAAGAGTTAAAAAGGTAGAAACATGCACAAGTAGAGAGAGGAAGAGATGGTGGACGAGAGAAAAAAAGAGGAAGGGAGAAAAGCATGGAGAAAGGGTAGAAGATAGAGAGATAGACAAGTAGAGAGGTAGAGATAGAGGGGGCTAGAGAGGGGAGATAGAGAAGACTGACGTAGTCGAGAGTTTCAAATCTGCAACATCGTCGTCGATAAGATTCCGTGAGTCTCTCTTTTCTGATTATAAATCCACTTTTATTCGGCAGTCGCGTCGCCGTACTGTAAACGTGGATAAACTCCTCGTAAGATGCGATTCCCATCGAATCCGCGTTAAATCAGACGGAACCGCCAAGGCGACAGGGAAGAATCGACGCTTTCAGAATCGCATGTGCTCCCTTCCTTCCTCGCAATCTCTCGATATGAAGACGCGGCCCGCGATTTTATATCTCTGCTGATAAAGCATCTTCCTCTGTCTAACATGCGGCGTCACGCCGCGCCTCTCTTCCTCGACGAGCCGCTTGCGAACGACGGCGAAGTCGATTTCTGTCGAGTGAACACCAAATCGAATCGAGTCTTCCGTGCGCACGATGTCGCAAAATCGTAGAAAAGAAAGGAGCACGAACCAGATACAGATAAAGATAGATAGGCAAGTAGGTAGAGAGAGAGAGAGAGAGAGAGAGACAGACCGCGTAAGGAGAGACACGTTATAGATTATTTGCATGCCTCTTCGGCTTTTCGCGTCGTTTCCTTCCTCTCTCTCTCCTCTTCCTCTCCTCTCCCTCTCTTCTCTCTTGCTTTGCCTTGCCTAACCGCACCGTCCGTCGTCGTCGTCCCGAAATCGCTGCCTGGCAGATATACGATAAACCACTGTCAATTACCGCGCGCGTATCACTCTGAATCAACCTCGAGATTTATTTTTTTCGATGATTGATAGGCGATCGTTCGTGGGAAATGGGGGAGCAAAGACGAAGGGGCAAGGAGAGGAGGGCAGAGAGGAAAGAGGAGCGACGATAGTTGTGTCGCGATGCGGTTTCGTTGCGCCGAAAATTGGAATGAAATGGCGGAATTACAAAAAGAAATACACTTCTCCATCGGATGGCCGTTTTCTCTCTCCCATCTACAACCCTCCCCTATGTACTCTCTTTTCCGTTCCATTTGTGTGTGTGTGTGTGTGTGTATGTGTGTATGTATCTCTCTTTCTTTCTCTTTCTTTCTTTTCACGATAGAAGGTTTGTACCGCGAGTGAAACGATTTCGCGTCACGAACAGAAATTTTCGTCCCTAGTTTCGTTGCGGCGCGACGTCCCACGGCTCTTTCTCCTTCTCTTCCTTCTCTCTCGCGCCATTGTTTTCGTCCGTGTGGTGCGGGATCAGCGCGGAAATATATCCTCGTTCGAAGGTTTTTAATGTATCCCAGAATTTCGGCCGGACACGTCCTGCTGAGAGCTGTCACAGGGGTGTATGGGAACGCGGTAGAGAGATGATGGATTCAGGGAAATTAAATGACGGATCGCGCTGTCTCTTTTAGGACGCGTCTATCAGAACGCGTTTCCGTGCTCTCTCCCTCTCTTTTGTGCGATGAATCGAGCGAAATAAATTTCTATTGGCCTAGTTTGCGTCGAATCGCGATTACGGGGATTCCAAATTGTTTAATTTCAATCGCGCGCGCTCGTATCGGTCGCGTTTGCTCGCGCGCGTGAGTCCACTGCACGATAAAGTTTCATAAATTTCTTAGGGGAAGACATATATGTTATCCTCATACGGGCTCGTGTTTCTCTCTCCCTTTTTCTCTCTTTCTCTCTCGGCACCGCGTAAAAGAGCGATGCATAGTTTTTTAAATTTGATATACGTCTCGTTGCGTTTCCTACATTTTAAGAGAAGTTCCATTAGGAGTTATCATTTCCCTCGTCGACGATAGACGGGATGAGAGCTAATGGTTACTCGAGAAAGAGAGAAAGAAAGAGAAAGAGAGACAGAAAAGAAACAATTTTTCTGTTTATATATAAGACAAACACACACACACAAACGGTTTATCAAAGCTAAGGAGAGGCACTCTACCTTTTTCACGTTTTCTCTTTTTCTTTATCTCAGTGACTATGATCGATATCATTTCAAACGTTACGCGGGACACAAATCTCGCGACTAACGGGAAATCCTCCAACGACTGTTTTCTCTCTCTTCCTCTTTCCGAGGATGGAGAAGCATCAGTAGTGTGTATATGTATATATATATATATATATATATATATATATATATATATATATATATATCGCTTGTTTATCACGAGAATATAAATATGCACAGAGTAAACAAGACTCACCGGAATCGAAGGTCACCTCGCTAACCATGATCCACCGGTCGGAGAAGTGCAGTCGCAGTTTGACGAATTTTCCGACTCGATGATGAAGCTTGATTGTGATGTTCCGTGAGGACTCGAAGATCTTGTCTTCCATGTACGTGTAAGTAATGGGCTTGCCTGTGTAGTACTTGCCGCCGATGCTGAAGAGGATATCGACCTGAGAGAACACCTGTAACACGTAAGACAGGATGGTTACTCCAAATACATTGTGAATACGAATTATGCCATACGCACACTCTATATTTTTCAGAAAGTGCAATCTTCTAAAAACGAACGAAAATGTTCGGTACTTCAGGGGTGATTTCACTTAAATATAGAATGGGATTTTTCTTAAGCTAGTCGATGATTAACTCGATCGACAAAGTCGTTAGCGTGAAAAATAAACGGTTTGATGTTAACACGAGTGTAAACTCATTTTTTCTAATCTCTATTTAACATTGTGCTACTAGTCGTGCATTGTCTGCTTTATCACCGTGTACATAATTATTAATTTTATGGGTATTATTAGAGGACAAATTCGATTGACAGAAATTGCTGTTAATAATTCGGTAGATGAATAATCGGTCAGTTTAACTGAAATTAGGTGGACATCGCGCTCAGAGTGGATTCTTAATTCATACAAATGAATGTTTTAAGACTTCTGACCCCTCGCATTGTCTATTTCTTTTTAATGATGTTTAATTTCAAAAGTAAGAAAATGCGTGCTAAAAATTCTTGCAAAATACGTTAAAATAAAAATATATATCCATAAAGTGTAACACTTGGAATCGATTAAACAAATTTGTAACATATTCACTTCCTTTTTGCTCTAACAATCAATAATTTGTCGTAAATTAACGTAACATACAATTCATCTTCTAAATCTATTTCTTCGCCTATTCATGTTAATGTACAATAAATTATTGATTGATTGAGAGCAAAAGGGGAGTACACGGAATATCTTACAAATTTGTTTAATCGATTGCAAGTGTTATTTCATGGATGTATATTTTTATTTTAACGTATTTTGCAAGAATTTTTATCATGCATTTTCTCGCTTCTAACATTATTAAGAAGAGATAAACAATGCGAGAAGCCAGGAACTTTAATTGGTCAGAATACATTTATGTTCTTGAGATAGCACAACACATGAGATTCAATTTCAAATGCAACTGTTCACTTGATAATTTAGAGTGGGAAAATTCGCTCTGTATGAACAAAAATTCCTTCGAGTTCGCTGTCACCTCCGCTTTCTCAGATGGAATACCACACGAGGACATTCAAAATGCCCACGCAAAATGTCGCGTAAGCAGACACGAACGATTAGATGAAAGCAATTACTCGGGCGCGGATGGGGGTCGCCGCAATGAAGCCAGAGTCGAGATATTTATTAAGCTATAAGACGAACGGGGATAATAGTACGAATTACGCAATGAATAAGCGCGCGAGCGCGCGGCTCGGCAAAATTTATCGTACGTATTACTCGCATGAGCGCCTCGTCGGCATGAAAGAGGAAACACAGTACATATTTCGCAACAGCGAAATTCCTATTCCGCCTCTCCGAGCTACTTTTTCACCTCCTGAACAACCACATCGCGCGCCCGTAAATTTTTGACCGCGGATAGCATTTTTCAGGGCTGACTACTTTCGCGCTCGTAAATTCACGGACGACGACCTGACAGGAAAGGAATTTCGTCGTCACGGAATGCAAGCCCTTGCAGGAGAAAGAGAGAGGGAGAGGGAACTGTGTGTGGCGCCCCGGCGAAATTGGGGTCGATGGGGATTGCGCCGGAGGAAATCGCGCGTCCTCCTCGTCCTCCACCTCCTCCTCCTACTCGGGATTCGATCGCGACATCGATCGTCGAATTTGCGTGATTAACTGCGAACGACGACGACGACAGCGACCGGCGGCGCCGGTGGTCGTGGCGGTTGCGGCCTCGCGCGAGGGAAAAATGATTTCGGCTACGGTTAAGCGAGTAACTCCGGCTGATATGAAAATAAAACGGATTACGCTGGTGGATATTAGGTAAAATGGATACCCGCGTGGATACGCGACGTTGATGGATAGAGTCGACTCCGGAAACCCTCACCGCTCGAAGAAGATTTACCGACAAAGTGGGGGTCGATCGTTCCTTCTCTCTCTCCCTTTGTCCCTCTCTCTTTCTCTCGCGCGAAAAAGCCGCTCGGTACTTTTGAGGACGTTATAAAAGTTTAATGTGTCCCTAAAGTTCGATGGAGTATATGATCTGACCATAAATCAACTATTATCCGTACGGTATTATCTGTGAGGTCGCTTTTGTTGATGGAGGTGTATCGAGATTGCATCCATATAATATATAAGGGTGCCCCAGATTCGTCTCCGCGGGACGGATTAAAGTGAATATAAAAGTCCCATACCGTTTTGCGATATTCGCAATAAATCTCGAGATATTAATTAAAGAAGATTACGCGCGATATAGTAGGTGAGTTCTAGTGGCGATGTATGCTGTCGTATATTTAATACGTTAGGTCAAACTGAAAACAAAAAAGTCCTGTATTATTTTGCGAGTAACCATGTAGATTTTTAATTATTAATGAAAGAAAAATGTTTAATAATTTTTAAATGTTAAACATAATTTTGCGCGATAATGCACAAATCTTTCTAATTAATATTTCTAAAAATTTATGTGGTCGCAAAATGATAAAGGACTTTTTTGGTCATTTTGATAATGAACAAGTATATATAACGGCGCCATTACAGTTTATCTACCATATCGTGAGTGATGATTCACTGATCTTCTTTAATTAATATCTCAAGATTTATTGCGAATATCGCAGAACGATATGACTACTTTTATGTTCACCTCTATCCGTTCTATGCTGCTATGAACGTTGTGTAGAGGTGTGTGAATCTGGAACATCTTGTATATTATATACACATATATACATATATATTCTCTGTACTCGTCGGCGTTGCGATCTCGGCTTTACGATCCGTCCTTACTCCCAGCCTTTCACCCCCTTTTTCTTTATAAAACAGTCGACGTAAAAATATATTACACGCTCCGCGGTGACACGCGAGTCCAAGTTCGCCGGACGTCGCGGAGACAGAAAAGCAAGCAAAGAAGGAAGGAAAGAAGGAAGGAAGGAAGGATGGGGATAGAGGATAAGACGGAGTCGCGTATCGATCCGTTTTTCCCCGCGGAAGGACGACGATCCGCGAAGACAGCGCGTGACGCGCGGACGTAATCGAGTTTTCATCTCGCGAAAACGCCGGTGCGGGAAAAGCGCAACGATGACGACGACGAGGGCGACGACGAGGATGGTGGCGGCGCGATTGCCCGAAACGGCCTCGTGTACAAACGGGGCGCCGAGTGTGCGAAGTGCCTGTTGAATATTCGTAAGTCACGGGCCATTTGAAATTCCGAATATTCCGGCGACGACGGCGGTGCGCGGCGGATAATCTGAAATTCCGTAAGTTTCGATTAATGTTGAATAATTCCATGGGGGGGAAGGGGGGTTCTTAAGTGGACGCCGGACTCTCCGTTACCGTGCTCGCGAGCATGCTCATGGATGCCTTCCACCTTGGCTTTAGCCAGCCGGCTAGGTACGCGCCGAGTTCGACGACGACGACGACGACGACGACGACGACGGCGGGGGAACCGAGTAATTTGTCGAGGAATTCTGTGTGTGCCGTATTTCGCCGGAATTGGAGCGGGGAATATCATATCGCGTAAAGTTGATTGTCAGGATATATAGCGACGCGGAACCGCACGTAAGAGCTTGTAAAGCGACGGCCTCTCTAAAAGTTACCGAGTTACCCCGCCCGCCTAGCCAGGCGATAAAGTAAGTTCCTCTCGGTACTTGATTTAGGTGAATGTATTTAATAATAAAGATACGGCCACCTGTAAAAAAGGAAATCTCTATATCGGCAGGAAGACCCGGTGTATCCCCTCGGGCGTACGCTCACCTCTCGCCCGACTGCTCTCGAAATTCCTTCGAGTGAAAAATTTCACTTTGGGAGTACGCAACAAATATCATTCTACCGCCAAGAAAAGCGATTCTTTGCTTCCCTTCTTTTGAGGAGTGATTATCTTCAATAAGGAATGTTTTCTTGGCGATAGTCTTAAGACGTGCTCATGTAAAGAAGTTGAGAAAAGCTCTGTGTACCGTCAAAACAGGAATTTTATTTATAAATTTATCTCTACAAGAATATCGTGAGAGACTTTATTGAAAAAAAGTTGGCTTAACTCTATACAGTGGGTCAGCCGAAATTTGTTTTAAATTAATATATTGTGACTCAAAAAACTTTGTAGGATTCAAAATGTGTTTTGAATAAATTTTATAAAAAATCTTATAAGAAAAAGAATGCACCCAAGGTTTATAGGTCATTGGTTCAGATTCATGGTTAAACAGTTTTGAAGCCATTGCATATTTGTAATCTATGCACCATAAATTTTAATTGAAACCCAAAATTGTTTCAAAACTTTTTTTGGCTATCAATTTGGCCGCATTCTGTAGATATATAAATTTGGGGAATAATTGAAACAAATAATGTTGATTCGAATGCAATATGTATGTTTTGTGTATAGTCTGACGATCGGGTCATACTTTGAGTGACTTTCTTATATGAAATGGATCTTCTACTCAGAATCGTAAAGGTAAATATTTTCACTAGAAATTGAAAAATGAATCTGATAAATTTCCGAAATTTCTCGGACATGAAAATTTCACTTGAGAAGCAAACCGAGTCGTCAAAATTCGAACGATTTTTCACTTATATGACTCTCCGCTTTGAATTGACCTAATATTTTCATTCGAAATTGAAAGATATCTGACGTGCTTGCGCGATTGAATTTTCACTCGTTTTGAATGAGACCGAGTGCACTCTGCGAGATTTAGAGAGAATGTCGCGCGTCTTGTGAAGGAAAGCGAAGCAAAGAGAACTCGCGCGGACGATGCTGCCGCACGTATGAAGAAAGTTTTGCATTATCGACTCTTCGACAAAGTTCGAAGACAGACTTGCTCGCTAAGCCTTTTTCCTCTAGCCCGTTTCTAATCGCTTTCACGGTGGGAGATCGCCGACTTGCCTAACAACGGGAATCGTTTCCGCGCGAACACGCGAACACATAAAACGCTTTGTAGGATTCCTTTTCGACGTGCGCGTACGCATGCACGCGTCTTCCCGCTCTCGTCTCGTATTTTGTACAC